ATTAATTACTTCTATGAATCCGGTGTTCGTCTTGTTGTACTAACGAGGTATGGCAACTTGGACCGATGCATATATGTGCCTGGTCCTACGTTGTAGCTGACTGACTGACTCAAGCTGATTGCATAACATGTACTGTGCTTACGTAATATCCATATATAAAAAATGTGATACAGATATAGATTTTCCAGTTTTGTATATTTATTTATGAAATAATCAATCCTGTAAATAGTTATAATGATTTCAAGGCCATAATTATATACTATTTATAATGTTTATATGGTACTTGGTCTAAGTGTAATGCACAAGAACACAAGTGGGGACGATCGAAAGTATTTCAGCACAAATTACAGACTATCACTAAATTGTGATAACCATACAGTAAAGAGTTAATTTGCGAAATAGCAATCAATTGTCTCAATCTTAACTGTTCTTTCTGCAAATATCAGTCAATCTTCTCTGATTTCATTGTTCATGTATTTTCGTATCGATTGCTCTTTATTTCTGTTCGTTCCTTATCGATCTTCTGCCAAAATACATTCTATGTCTGACTATCACTATATACTACTTATATGGATATAAGGAGATCACATCACATAAGAAACGTAACTTATGAAGTTATTCAACAAAAAACTTTATTTTGTACAACTATATGATGCATGGAGAAATTCGAATTTCTCCGCATGTGTTTCGTAGCTTGTCCCGAAGTTTATGCTGATAATGTCGTTTAGAAGGACGATGAAAGCTACACGACTAGACCATCCAGCTCATAAAACAAAACTCTATCAAAAAGTTAAAGACTAATTGGTAAACTGTTTAGCAGTTGATTTTATAAAAGAATCATATGATTAGATATAAAGTCGGAAGTTTATTTCATTTGGCATATTACAACTATAAATTTCATTCAATAAATGAATTTCTAGATAAGGTCTAACGTTATATCAAACGGTTACTATATTAACATTTGACATTTATATATTTAATAAATTTGAAGCCGCTAACTGAACTTCATTACATTATCACTAAAAATCTAGAAGTAATCGAAGATCATTTCGTCCTAGTAGCGGTGAGCATCCACGACCTCCCACCCCACGGAATGGGACCTAATACACTCAGTTCCTTGTGTGTTATAACTTAGTCTCCAGACCACTAAGCTGAGATCCAACTGTATTAATTATTTTGGTAGAGATTCATTTACTGATCTAGATGTTTGGTCGTTGAGCTTTTATCATTTTTATGGATAACATCAAATGGACAAACATCAGGTAGAAGTTAAGCTGTCAAATTTCTCCACATATGATTCACAGCCTATCCTATCAACCTCGGCTATTGTTGATCTTTAACATGTCATTATCTGCCTCTTTATTTTGATCGTATCTCTCCTCGATATGATTCTTGATCCTATATTTGTCCATGATTCATTCTGACTGGTTGATAGATTGGGTCAATTTCAATGTGTTTGACGATTGCCAATGGACTTGAGTGCAAACCTTTTATAAATTCCCTAATGTTTTTAGTATTGCCTCTTTTAACCAGACTTTGAAATCCACCAGAGCTACAAATCTTTTCCATCATCTCAATGAAATAATCATATTTTTATCAGTTTTTTCATTGTTATGTTATATGATAATGATACCCATTGAAGTTAAAATTTCACAGTTGACAAGGAAAAACAGCTCGAATCATAGTTGAAACTTAACCCGAAAAGGTTTCGCTAAATGCAATCATATCATGCACCGAACAAATAAAATAAATTTGAATGACATGTATTTATTAGGGAATCATAATTTCTGATCGATTACCATAGTTCAAATTCATCTTCTAGTGTAGTGAGGTTCATGAAAATAAATGGAAGATCAGTGATTCAATTCAGGAACGATCAGGAAGATGATAAAGTTAATATTTGTCACTAAGATAAATTGATTGAAGATCAATTCCTTTATTCAATTCATTCACTGTAATCATAATCATTCTTTCATCAACTGTTATTCATTCCATCCGAATCAGAATAGTTAGACTAATGACATCGAATTATTTGAGAAATACTAAATATTCTTTCGATCATTCAGGCGAATCACACACGCGGATCTAATATGTACATGAATTTGAAAGTATGTCATGAGATTATTCATCTACAGTTCTTTAAATCATTTGATTTATATCGAAGTGTTATAACTTGTGAGTGCCTGCGTGCGTGCCCTGTTTATGTATGAGTGAAAAGACCGCCAATCAGAGAGCAGCAAATTATCGATTGAGACAGTGACACACGAAAATCGTACGAGCAGTCTAGAGTGCATAACGGCCCTGCTATCTGCCTAGCCCAGCCAGTTAAGTACAGAATACCAATAAAAGCCTCTGCAATATGAATAATTATTTTCAAACATACTGGGTTTATATACCAATCAAACAGACCACATCGTACCATAAAATAGAAAATAACATTTGTACTAGATTTGGCCAAATGTGGCTGTGAATAAGGGGAATAGTAATTAATAGACTGGATATAACTCAGGAATGGTAAATCGTATAATAATAATAATCTGTGGGTCAAAATAAAGCTTATGATAAGAGGTACACGAATGTGAATAGTTTAGGAAATATACATATCATATTAGTCTAGAAATAGTCCTCAAGGTTACCATTCATAATTCTCCACAGGATACAACACAAAGAGCTATGTATTTAAACATCAACTACTTTAGAAACAAGTCATATTCATACAAGTCTCGCTGATAGTTTCTTACAAATTCATAGGGTCACATAAAGTATTGTTACATACATCCTTCATTCAGTTAATTGAAATAACAGACATATATTCCAGAAATTACTCTGTTTAACTGTATATGCTTTATATTATTTCTCATAAAACTATCTAGCGTAACGGTTCTATTAATGGGTTCATGTAAAAGTTTCTTTAAATAATGTTGATGGATTATTGAGTAGTAACCAATGTCTTGTTTATCTGTTTCTCTAAGTGGTGCCGATAGAATTCTATCGATTGCGTAATAATGTGATCATTACTTTAAGTGAATCATTTTTCCATGGATTGTTTTGAAATGTTAAGTGTTTGAAGACCATAGACAGGAAACCCTACTTGACCTAGATTTCATTCTAGTTTGGACTCGACAACAAGATGAACCTGTAATCTTTCGGGAAATATTTTTCCCTGGTATATTTAAACTTGTGTCATTCAAATTCATAGTCTGGGAAGTAACCAATAAACTATTCAGCAATATGAAACCTAAATCCAGAGTTTTTTTGGCGAGACCATAATTCATAGAGGACCTTAGAACGAATCTTAAGTGACCTTGAGAAATGTTGGTCAATCAGTAATTAGTCAGCATGGGGTAAAAGTATATAATACAAACCCAAATAATTAAAGTGGATACACATCTTTTATGTGGTCCAAAAACTTGTCAAGGTTAGAAGAAAGTTCAAAGGTTGCAAAATCGTAATGCATAAGGCAGAGGAAGTCATCCATATGGCTCCATACTAGTCGGTCTCTGGAGCCATTATAAAGTAACAAAAACTTTCTCAGCCTCGACCACATAGCATCATTATTGTGCGTGCACACAGGTTTTGTAAGTTTACCATTTTTATTATGGATATATCCCTACAATACTTATACCACTGAACACCCGAAGCTTCAGTAACATCTGTGAATATTACAGCCAATGTTACTGGTGCTTTTATTATACAGCAATTATTATAATATCCCTTAATCTCAATCTGGGTCGAGCAATAAAGGTTCCTATTCTAGCGAACGTCTTCCTTTAACATATATTACATCGGAGGACAACATCACGGCACTCTGTAAAAGGTCTACAAGTCAATTAATATTCGTAATTACAAATACAGCAACTTCTTAATAGTTTCATTAGTTGTAGCCGCTTAATTTTCAAGTATTCACTAAAATTCTCTATGCACCGACCGTACATGAGCATCAGGTAATGAAATTTCTGCCGTGACCCTGAAAGCCCTCAAACGCTTCTGATTGGCTCGACCATAAATTATAGTCTCGCCGTTTTTTTTATAAGCTAACTCCAGCTGTCCAACATGTCAAATGTTACATACTCCATTATAATTCGATTTTACTGCTAAATAGAGTATTTTTTTAATTACCGGTTTTGTATAAATTCAATAATGAATGATTTGAGAAAAAAAAAGTGTCCTTTACCTGAATATAAACATGAATGAATACAAAAATATACCTACCTAATTAAAGTACAATAACTACAATTCATTTGGAAAACAAACTGTTGATAAAAAAATCATTCTAAATAGAGTAATTAATTTTGAAAAAGTGGAAAAAAACTATTGAATTACATTCATTTAGTATTGTTTTGTTTGAATCTTCCCATCGATCTGTTAGGACTGCAACTGGTCAGTCTCTAATTGGTATATGTGCATACTGTGCGTATTGCTTCGATATAGCCATAATTCACAAGCATGGTAAGCAGAGATGGATAGTGGCTGGCAGAGGAATCCATCTCTGCTCATCATGCTTGTGAATTATGGCTATATCGAGGCAATACGCACAGTATGCACATATACCAATTAGAGACTGACCAGTTGCAGTCCTAACAGATCGATGGGAAGATTCAAACAAACAATACTGAGTGAATTGGTTCAAGTATTTATTATTCTTACCGCAATTAGTGCATACTAGTACACACGCACATACTAAACAAAAAGTATCCGGCTCAGTGGTCTGTCAGTTAAGTGCTCGCGCGTAGGTCCTGGGTTCGAATCTCGCGAGGTGGGATCGTGGATGTGCACTGCTGAGGAGTTCGAAAATAGAACGAAACGGTTGTTCAGTGCTTCCAGGTTTTCAATGGTGGTCTAGCTTCGATTGACTCATGATTTCAACTATATATAAAAAATTATCCATCATACTATTCAATGTTCAACTTATTAACCATTCATTATAATTGTTTTACCACTGATAAAAACCAAAATAGTTGTATTATTATTATTTTTTGTTTTTCGTTTTACATTTCTAGGATCGTAAAGGCAATCACTTTTATATGGGCTTAAATCATGAAGGTGTTATTACATATAGAGGAAGTAGAAAAGCACATGTTTTTAGTTGGTAAGATGTTTCCTAATGATTTAAACAAATTTGATAGTTAGTGATAGACATCTATGAAGATAGTGTGTAGGTACCTCTTTATCATGAACGAAGCTTCAAGCTAAATTAAACATAGATGATGATATTCAACAGTAGTGGCGAGACAATAAATTATGAACGACATTTGAGAGACACTAGGGTGACCTCGAGAGTGTCTACACAATAACTAGGATCAAATGAAGGTTATAAACCTGTGTGAAGAGTTCGAATTATGATTAACAGTTTATGGTTAAGGTTAGGAATTATACTTAGGATTTTCATCAAGAACTTACATCAGCTATAATTCCGAAACTTTATTTATCCAAATGAATGAATGGGTTGATTTCGAGCTAAAATCCGATACCTGTTATCTTATATCTGATTGGTTCGTCCATAAATTATAGTTTCGTCAAGGATACTTTTAAGTTTTGATCAAGTTTGTTTACTCAAACTTATCACCATGTCTAAATCATCAAATTGGTTAATGCATAAAGTAAGTGTAATACTCTGTTTGTTCCTCTCTTGTCTAGTCATTATTGAAATCTAATATAAAATCTTATGTATCATGAAGTTCACTGGTCATTTTAAAAGCTTTAGTTAATGAGTGGTACAGTTTACTAACTATGTAAGAAGTGTCATGGATTATTTCTGAAATCATTGAATAGATTAATGATTATCATATAGAACTGTCAGGTTTTGGACTGTGTGTGTTGTGTTTATACTCGAAGTTCGTGCTGATGATGTCGTTCAGAAGGACGATGAAAGCTTCACGACTAAACTATCCAGCTCAGAAAACAAAAATCCGTCAAAATCATCCCCTTGATCTACAAATCTTCTCCACCATCACAAAGTCATATTAATGTAGTGTGTTTATTTCAACTTTTGAATGATTTATAAAAGACTGTTGTGAAGCATTTGGCTAAATTGGCTAAAGTTCAAGTTAGTAAGCGACTACTGACAAATGTTCATTCTAGACTTTAGAAAATAATGATATTTTTCTAATCAGTTTTACTATTCAACAGTCCTCTACACATCGAACTGCACGTACTGTTTCATGTGTGAATATAAAAACAACAGTATTACAAAGAACAAACATGAAATATTCATCTATTTAGTTTTACGGTTTCGAATTGTGTCTTGTTGTTAATGAAAGAACTGACCAGTCACTTTTTGTATATGCAAATCCTGAATAGACTGTCTTGATCATACCATATATATAAGAGGTGTTTAGTAAATTTCAATAGTAGCTCTCAGTTAGATCCATTGATTGCATTTCATTCTATTTCCAGTTATAGTTACTTGGAAATGTTTCTTATAAGGTGTTGATAAATTAAGACAATTTGCTTTAGTGAATCTGTTAACTTATCTAAATCATACTCAAATGGTTCGGAAGCCGAGGATTGTGCTAAATCAACGTAAATATACTTTTATTTCGTGTTATCCTTTTATAGATTGATTGTCATAGCGTTTAAGTAAATTAATCAGTTACAACTATAAATAATCATAAGCAAAGAACAGTATAAACAGTCTTTTTGACATAGAATGTCCTTTACATTTACCGATTTATCTATATAGAAGATTGGTAACATAATTTAAAACACAGGTTATACTAGTCTGATTACTGTTCTTGAGATAGAAACTTAGTGAGCTTCAGAGCTTCTTTGATCTTCCTTGAGTTCATCGGGAGGCTTACCCAAGGGTGTCCAGGTGTTGAGGCAATTGAGAGTAGTTGACAGTATTCGCCGACTTAGGTTTCATCCTAATTGGCATTCGTCAGTGATGAGTACCTGTTGAATTCAATTACGGGTTGTCCAGCTTGACAATCTGTCACATTATTATTAGGCTATAGGGTCCACCATTGACCTGAGGTATTTATTATCAGTTGATCACTGGATTTTGACCAATGTTATATTTAACTCGTTCCACAGAAAGTATTAGCTCTCTGAAGAATGAAAGTATGCCTTACTGGTGGGTGACAAGTAGCACGAAACCGAGATCATCTACGGTTTCAAGTCAACTACCTCCAACCAGCTAACGTCTAAATATAGAGCTCAAGATTTTAAGCTAATTAGATTACTGAACATTTTGGAGCCTGATCTACAGAAATTTGTCAGTACTTAAAAACATTAATAAAAATGGTATCGGTCCCTAATAAGTGGCTGGTCAGTTCTAGCTTTCGAGGGCTCAAGTATTACGTGACTGACTAAGAAATCCAAGTTCGCGATATAACACTATCATATAATTTTAACTATTAAATTATACAGAAAATACTTTCAAACATGATTCTACTTTATATAATCGGTACTTACACACATTACAATTTAACCAACGTTTTATTGTCTTATCATGTTTTGTTTAATCAAACAGTATCCCCATTCAGTGATGTTTTACCTGTTCTATTCATTTATAAATTATTTATAGGCAAAAAATCAATAAAATAAGCTATGAAGGGAAGTTATTCATCATACAAGTAGAATGGGAACAGGTATGTTTGATATAATGAAACATAATTTTCTCATTTCATTGTTTCCTTAAGCCAATCGATATTTCATTTAACAATGGATATTTTTTAGATAATGATATCGTTTATTGATTTAAGCACTTTGAAATTGTTACCTAAAAGTATATTATTTAAGTATTTTGGGCAACCACAGTCAAACATGTCGGCTCAGTGGTTTGAAAATTGAGGATTCGCTGCTAGATCTGACTATCCTGATGCCTCGATATTTTCATTAGGTTCCATGCATTATAAAAACAGATAGATGATAGCTAGTCAGAGAGAGAGAGACTGGTCAATTTCAGTCCTATACGTCAATGGGAAGATTACAACAACTAGAATATATGAATGAAAACCAAAATTCACCCATTGTATGAGTTACTGGTTATTTGAACTCAGTAGGTAAGTAGATAACGTGATGGCATTTGAAGCCAACAGTACTGGCTTCGAGTTCTTGATTGAACATCAACTCTAGGATGTAGGTATATCTAGTTGATGAATCTAAAAGAGAATCAAATGCAAGTCCTGGATTCTATCTCTAGACGCCATCCATTTCTGCTCATAATGCATGTGAATGAAGTTGATATCGAGGCGATCTGTACAGAATGTACATATACTGATAAGAGATTGAACAATTGCAGTCATAAGCTTCAATCTGAAGATTTAAACAACCAATTCAAAAAAACAGTTGAATACATCATATGATGTTGGCTCAGTGGTCTAAAGATTAAGCACTCTCTGACCTGACTGTCCTAAGTTAGATCACTCTTGATTGTGTTGTGATTACACATTGTTGGAGGGTTTCATTTTTGGATTATATTGCTGTCCAGTGTTTCCTAGTTTTTGCTGGTTAGTTATTAATATAATTTGTGTTTCAAATAAAATAAAAATTCATTTCTAGTAATTGAACAACTGAGTTTGCTAAAACTTTAGTAAATGGCAGAATGAATTAGGGACAATGTTCTCTAATGTTACAGCTGATAAACTATTTACTATATCCAGTTTTAGAGAATTCAGGGATAGAGCAAAAAAACTATTCTAAATTTTAGCAATGGTGTACCTAATATAAGTTGATGGTTATAAAAATGTTGAGCTAGACATCTTCCGAAGATCATTCTAGAATGTACTTCAGTAGATTACTTATTGGGACAGAGATTTTCTTAGTAATATTAGGAATTCATATCATGAATTTTTGATGTCGGTACAAAAGGACAGGCGCTTAATGTTATGGATGAAAGTATTCAGAGATTAAGTAAACTAAGCTTCAGAAAGCATTTGGTGTTTCAATGACCAACTGACAATCTATAGCCTTGTCATTATTCTATTTATCATGATAATTTAATTATCAAGGAGTTGAGATGTTTATCAATTTCACTTTGAACATGATGTTAATTTGAACAATTTAATTGATTTTAAAGCGTCGACATACGCTTGGTTTTAAATGTCCAACTCCGGAATCCGCTGAAGCATTATGGAAATGGGCAGTTGATCGTCAATGCTTTTTCACGTAAGTGAAATATATTAGAATTTTGAATATTTTTTTATAGATAATTGAGTATTTGTTATATGTACGATTTTCGATCTAGGGGTTAGGAGTCCGTGTGTGAGATCAAAGACCCTGGATTTGATTTCCAGATAGAGGATCATGAATAGGTACCTCTGAACAGTTCCATACCGTACCTAAAGGAAAGTTCATTAGTTATTAGTCTCCGTTGGTTGTCTAATTTAGGTCTGTTCATGTTCTTAATAATATTCAACATTCTCTACAATACTTCACTGTTAGCTTCTATTGTTAAAACTTCCATTCATTGAGCATCGATAGATGTTTGTCACCATTTTAAAACGTTAATTTAACAAGGCAAATTATAATTTATTGTCATCAAAGTGCTGAGTCAAATGTTTCATATTACCTAGCCTTTGTTTTAATAGGTTAATTTGTAAGATATTTTACTATTTATTAAATTATTATTTACGCCACACAACTAGTCGTGGTTAGGTGAGTTGACTGAGAAGAAACTGGTAAGTAACCTATTGACAAGTTTTCAAAATGGAGTGTTTCATAGGTTAAGCATCAAGTAGCCAACTAGACTTTTGTTTATCTCACCTGTTACTTCATCGAGTTTTTCAGCTTTAAATAAAACTTATCCATCACATTATCTGTAAGCATTTATATTATAAAATTTGTTCTATTTAGCTTAAATCGATCTGTCGATGCCAAAGAATCCAAAGCTAATGGTGGTCTATTTAAACGTCGTCAATTTTATACTTTTACGTAAGATTCAACTTTCTTGATTTAAATATTATATAATAATATTCTGTATTTTAACTGTATGAAAAAGTTGTCAATGAGCTTTATTTCTACATAATTTTGAGTTGATTATCTATCACTAACAAACAGACCACTACATGATAACGCTGGGGGTTTTAAATCATCAAAACATTTTGACAGATCTTATCACTTATCAAAGGATATTTATGAAGTACAGTCCAGAGATGATACGTGTCTGTCATTGATGTTTTTCAGGTAACATTATTATAGATCAATCATTATAGGTCTTGATTTGGATTGGTTAACTTCAAACGGTAAAATACTTTATCTATGTATGTTTAGTTGAAAACTATTTAATTGAGTTTAAGTCATTCAACAGCACTTTGAGATGTTAACATGTTTACATATCACATATTAATATCTTACATTTTTCTATGGTGAAGTATGTCTAATCATCGTATTGATCTAATGGTTTAGAAAATATACGTTCAAATATTACACACATCTTCATCATGAACCCCATTAAGAAAATTTTAAACAAGAATCAATAAGATTCACTTAGAATTGTTTGTTTGAATCTTTTCATGGATGTTGAAGACTGCAACTGGTCAGTCTCTTATTGACAACTGTGCATACTGTGCATATCGTCTCGATATTGTCATAATTCACAAGCATCAGGACTCAGTAGCTGAATGGATAAAGCAATGACGTTAGAAGTGAATGGTAATGAGTTCGAGTTCCAGAGTGAACATGAAGTCTGTGATGCAGGTATATCCAGCTGACGAGTCCCGAATAGGATGAAACATGCGTCCTGGATTCCACTGCTAGCAACTATTCATCATATAACGAATCAATAAGATTTTGAAGAAATCAAAATCTGTTTATTTAGTAATCTTTGTTTATATTTTAATCTAAGTTGATTAATATTGATCGTTACTGCTAACCTCACATGGTAGGCAGCCTCATCATTATAATAACTCAATTGAGTGATATTGATCGGAACACTTTTTCTTATAGGTTCTATCAACTAAGCAACAGATCAGTCAGGAAACACTAAGACAGTAATCGCTACACATCGTGCAATGCTTTATGATTAACTGAAGGACTGATCTAAGTTCATTAATAAATAAAAATAAGTCAATGCTGTATATTAACCTATTCTACATAATAGATTAAACTTCACTATCCAGCTAATACTACACTTCACATTTTAATTATCTATTACGTAACGAATTCAACCGGAATATACTGTTCTCTTCTACAGTACAGATTGTTAGCATATCAATACATTTCTTTCAACAACAAAAAACTTACAACATAGTTACCATAATCTAAAATAGGCCTACTTTATCTATTCCTTTAATAGTATATACTATCATAGTTTATTGTATTTATTATCATTAGGAAAGAATAAACTTTATTACATTACGTCTCCAAATTATGAGACAAAAATTTAGAAAAACAAAAAAAAACAATATACTTTCTCTTGGTCACCATAGTAACTGACAAAATAATACACACAAACATACAGAAATAAATATAATTTACCATTTTCAAAAAGTTTTTTTCTCTTATATCATCAATATAAATGAATGCATAGTATATATATATATACTACTTACAACAGTAGTAACAATAGTAACGTTTGTTTAGTAACATGCTTCACCTTTTATTATATGGAGGTGTATACACATATATATTACTTTTATCTGTTTTGTTATTGTTATTGTCAATTTTGTTTTTTTCTCTCTGTATAAAATCTCTAGGGGAAGATGCCAAAAAGAGTTAATGCAACTTAATTCTAGTATGCCTGCTATACCTCAGCCTAGTGTCTCAAGGTAAGTCATAGTAATAGTATTAGTAGTAGTCATTAGTAATATTGATAATAATAATGAATGTTTTACTACAACTATGAAGAAACTAACAATATTGAATTGTATCTATTTATTAAGCACATCTATCAAAATAGTGATATATATATATGTATACATATACGTTCATCATTCATAAATAATTCAATACTACTGAATTCTAATTACAAATATAAATGACTATATAATGTAGAGAAACAAATAGGGGGGGGGGAAAGAATATGTTTATTCAGGGAGATTTTATCGGTTTGATAATTATACATATATATTACTTACTGACTTACTTACTTAAACCTGTTACCTTTTGTATAGAAGCATAGACCTCCCACCTGAATTCTCTATCGAACTTAATAAATAAAGAATTATCAGAATGGTTCTTGTGGAGATTTGGTATATTTCATAGTTTAAAGCGTGAGTCATTTGAAGCTACACCATGGAAAACCTGGAAACACTGGACGGCCGTTTCGTTCTATTATGGGGCTCCACAGCAGTGAGCATCCACGATCCCGCATTCGCGAGATTCTCCACAAAAACCCGTTCTGATCTATAATCATATACTCACTAATGACTGACTTCAAGAGATATTTCCTTGAGTTCTAGTGGGAAGCAGTGACCAGTGGAGTTCTACCAAGTCTGTTGTAGAGATATCAACTCACTGAAAACAATTGGTGAACGGTTGCTCAACTTCGTGGATTGGTTGAAGTTAGACATTAACACCGTTAGTGGTTTATTACAATATCATAAAGAGATATTATCAATTTCTTATTAATATTTCATACAATTAATTCCCTTTATGAATTAAAGTAAAGACAGAATAAATATTGATTCAGAATAATATGAATTCATTATATTTCGTGTTTTCTCATCAGCTGCTTACAACCAAATATGTATAAGAGTTTTAGCATTGGGGTAATAAATAGTGTGGAACAATTGACATAATTGAATGTGAGGGATTGGAACAACAAAAGGTTATCAATGTTAACTATATATATGTGCAAGAAAAGGTCAGAGGTTATTAGGTATTAGAATGAAGGAAGCATAAATTAATTAGCAAACAAAGAAATACGACTGCTCTCCGGTTCGATGAAGCGATCGCGATAAAAAATTACTTAAACCGGATCAATGTATTCAAAAAGACACTGGTGAGGAGTCCCATAATAGGACGAAATGGCCGTCCAGTGTTTCCAGGTTTTCCATGGTGTAGCTTCAATTTATTCATGATCCTAACTGTTGAAATCACTAAAATATCCACAAAACCTCTTCTAAAAATTTTTTAGTCAGTCAATTTACAAGAGCTTACATTAGTAATCTGTGTATTGAGATCATCGTACTACTGTTGTAGTGAAAAAGAACACGGGTGCGGACAATCGAATGTATTTAATCACAAATTACAGACAATATCACTAAATTCAGATAACCATACAGTACACAGATAATTTACAAAATAACCATCAATTGTCTCAATCTCGAGTATTTCATCTTAAAATATCAGTCCGTCTTCTCTGATTTCATTGGTAATATATTTTCATATAAATTGTTCTTTATTCCTGTTCCTTCCTTATCGATCTTCTGCCAAAATACATTCTATGTCTGACCACGATTAATAATTGACAATATACAGTGTTGATTGACTGAGTACCAAATAATATGACAAACGATATCATTAATTAGACAGTTACGATTGTCAACAATAATCAGACACATTGATTCAAAGGGAGACTTATGGAAACGGAATTTAAGAAAGATGAAATCTCACCTAAAATTGAATAGATTAGAATTTTGACGATACAAGCATGATATTGGGATGAGAAAATCGGGAAAGCTTATCACAAAAATGTAAACATGTAAACAAAGATGAAATAAAATAATCCAGCTATAATTTACCATTTAACCCACCTCCTAGTGTAATGAAAAAAAGAACACGAGTAGGGGACAATCGAATATATTTAAGCACAAATTACAGATTATCTCACTAAAATCTGATAACCATACAATAAACATTCAGTATTGTTTGTTTGAATCTTCCCATCGATTTGTTAGGACTGCAACTGGTCAGTCTCTAATTGGCATATGTGCATACTGTGCGTATTGCCTCAATATAGCCTAAATTCACAAACATGGTAAGCAGAGATGGATACATCCAGCTGACGAGTCCCAAATAGAACCAAACGCGCGTCCTGGATTCCACTGCTAGCCACTATCCATCTCTACTTACCATACATTAAACAGTTAATTTATAATCAACTGTCTCAATCTTGACTGTTCCTTCTGCAAATATTAGTCCGTCTTCTCTGATTTCATTGTTCATGCATTTTCATACCAATCGCGCTTCATTCCTGTTCGTTCCTTGTCGATCTTCTACCATGATACATTCTGTTTGACCATCATCATATACTACTTATATGGATATAAGTAGACCACACCACACTACTACTACTACTACTACTAATAATGATAATAATAACAGTAGTAATCATAATAGGAAACTTACCGAAAAAAACAAATGACTGTAATTTATTGATTCATTAATAGTTTATTTTTTTAAAACAACAAATTTTTCTATTCATAATCATTAGTTAATGACCACACCCAAAATGTTTAATTCATTACCTATTCTATCATTTTACTCTAATTATTATTATTATTATTATTATTATTATTATTGATCTGCTTATTCGTTCCTTTTTTCTTTCACAAAAAAAGAAAAAAAAACTTTTTTTATTGAGTTGCCAAGGTGTTTTTCCTTTCTCAATATATTATTTATCATGAATAATAACTTCAATTAAGGTTATCAATAATTAAAATCATTTTATTGGAGTCATTTTTTATATGAACGAAGAGTAAACTGTTAGATAACTAAAAAATGTATTTAAACAAGTTTATGATGAAAGATGAATAGTGGCTAGTAGTGGTGTAATGTAGTTTGACGCGTGTTTCGTCCTATTTGGGACACGTTAGCTGGATGTACCTACATCTTAAACCTGTTGATGTTCATTCTGGGACTCGAACCTAGTACCTTTTGCTTCAAACGCTATCGCGTTATCCATCCAGCTAATGAGTCCTGATAGATACTCACTTGTGCATTGGGGTGAAGTTTGAATTCAGTTAGTATTGTTTGTTTGAATCTTACCATTGATGTTTAGGACTGACCAGTTGCAGTCCTAAACATCAATGGGAAGATTCAAACAAACAATACTAACTGAATTATTCTTAGTTAAGTTTATTGGACAGATGTCGGATAATAAACATATTTAATGGAGCTTTAAAACTGGACCATTCAACAGTCTGTTAAATTGATTATTTGAAACAATTTTGTTTAAACCAATGATAACTGTGATATGAACCTGATTTATCTAGTGATTATAAAGCGAAATCTCTTTTAATAAGGGATTACAGGTAGTCGACAAGATAAACTGGTAGATCTAGTTTTTGTAATAGTTAGTTTTTAATACGTCTCCATAATCTCGTGGCAATTGATGCTACCTGTTAGATTCAAACTTGAGTCATATAGATTGACTGTCCAAGACATTATCACTGAGCTATTCGAGTCTCAACCAAGTTTCTGTAAGATTGAGATGTTGACAATGGATTGGTAACTGAGAATTAATTAATGCCATGTTTATCTAATATTTTTTTTAAAATGTTGTGAATAAAAATCTACCGATTTAGTTTTAATGAGTTCATTAGTCTACCTAACCTTACACTGAGTGGATTGTTTCAACATTTTAGGCAATTCAGGTATCCAGTTAACATGAATGACTGATGAACACATTGAAATTTGATTAATGGAATTTGATAAACAGCATCTAAAAGACTAGACAAACATATCATCAGTCACTTCTCAGTTATTATTCAATTATTGACATCTCTTTATAGTTCGTTCTGAGCACAGAAAATGTTCATTTGTTGATTTACTGTAATTCATTATCTGATAGTTTAGTAGTTTACTGGTTCTGATTAACTTTGTCTCGAATATAGTACCAAAGATATTATGATGTATGGGATTAAAAATAGCTGATATTACATAAACTTGTCATTTAATATCCGTTTAGATGAAGTCCTATTAGTCTCTCTATGATGTTAATATTGCAAATTTTCTAAAATAACTATTGTATTAGGGGGTTGTTTGTAGAGATTTTTAGTAAGTTTCTATATATAGTTGAAAACATGAGTCAATTGAAGCAAGACCGCCTATTGCTGGACTCCTCAGCGGTGCGCATCCACGATCCTGCCTCGCGAGATTTGAACACAGGATCTACCAGTCTCTTGCGCGAGCACTTAGCCGATAGACCACTGAGCCGGCATCTAACAGTATTATTGTCTAACTTCAACCAATCCACGAAGTTGAGCAATCATTTCACCAATGTCTTAAGTGGGTTGATATCTCTCAACAGACCTGGTTGAACTCCACTGGTTACTGATTCTCACTAGAACTCCAGAAAATACCTCATGGAGCCAGTCCAATACTTCCAGGTTTTCTATGGTGGTCTAACTTCAATTGACTCATGATTTCAACTATATATAAAGCTGTTGTATTAGTTAAAGAAAGCTTGAAGACAACGAAGTTGATAGTTGTTAGAAATTGCATTTTCTTCACTCAACTATAAACAGTCCTTTACTGTTATCAATACGAGTTATGCTATCTATCTATCTATCCACAAGTCTATCTATATATCTCTATCTATCAATGTATATTCTTAGTGTCCTCATCCGAGAGAATAAAACACTATAGAGAAAATAGTACATTAGAGCATATCACAAATCTTATTGCTTTATTCTCAGATAAATTGGATAACTAAATTAAACTACAACCCATATGCTTTATTGAATTCAATAAATTTTAATTCATGTGAATCAAATCATTTTAAGCCATAAAAAGTTTTCTTCATTTTTTGTTTACCTCCTCTCTGTAGAGAAAAATTATGTTTCTCTCATGTTTTCTCCTTATTTTTTTTTATTGATTAGAAGTAGAAGTTTATTGAATTTGGCCAAGTAAGTTTTAGAATGATTTATAATAGATTTATACGATTATAAAAAGTTAAAAGCTTATTATTTGAGTAATGATGAAGTGTTTACTAGTGTGATTCCCATTTACCTATTTGTGTAGAATGAGAGTGTTGTGTCTATTTAGTTTATAGCCCTGATATAATGAATTACTTAGAACATTCTTAAAACTTCTAAAGCTCAATTTTAAGTTATATGACTAAAAGGTCTAGATATTAGAGCGAAGATATTGTTTTCAACACTGATATATAACCTGACAAACTGAGAAGGGTAAATAGTAGAATATTCAACTAATCCTGTATAACCGATTCATTCTTGATTCAATTAACTCGGGGAAAAACATACAAGAATAAGTGAATGATTTACATGGCTACAGTGTGTAAACAAAGTTAAATTATTGTAATTTGTAATAGAAGAGAGTATGATAGTCATGTATATATTTAAGAAAATCTTTTGATTCATAGAATAAAGCAAAGATAAAACTAAATGTTAACCCTTAACAGATTTTGAATTAAGCGAGACAATATCGCTAAAGATAGCTTTCGTGGTTTCGTTATTTCTCTTTATATATCAGTTTGGTTATTGAATATGTTGTTAATTATAAACTATAAGCCTTTTATTTAAATAATGGAAGTCCGTATCGATACCTTAATGTTACGATCAGGTATGAAGTATATTCTAATCGACTTATTTTGCAATAGACAGTCAACTTTCATTCACCAGTAAAATAAAAGGACAGACGTTATTAGGCAGATCAATTATTCTATGGTCAGTGATATAAATATATTAGTAGGGAGTTTATTATTGTATATATGAAATCAGGTTTAACTCTTGTACTTGAATCATTGAGTAGTAATTGATGTTATGTTTATCAAATTCTTTAATGTCAATAGAATTCTATCGGTTAATTTATAATATGGTGATTAGTCTACCTGACTTGACACTATGTTGTGGTGTTAGGTAATTGGAGGTAGTCAGCAGAAAACTCTTCTTGACCAACGCTGCATGCCTGTTGGCACACATCGGCACTTAACACGAGCAGTATTGAGCAAACTGATTTAAAGTTTAAATCTGAGTGGCATGTGTCTTAACTCACCAATTCCAGAGGACTACGAGTACTTTATGAGAACGATTGGCACGTAGTATCAAATCCAAATGAAAGACTGTTCCCTGCCGTTCACCTTCAGTCATTCAACGTCTTTTAGATTTTAGTGACTTCAAACAAGCTTTTTATTAATCTCTCTGTATTTATCTTTACCAACGATTACATGCATAGTGTTGAGTAAATATCATTCGATAGATTTATTATTGATATCTACCTCCTGTTGACACTATTTAGGTGGAGTTAGGAAGATAAATACAGTTAGCTATCTTTTGGTGATAGAATAATATCAGCTAATCAACTAGATTACTTACTTACACCTGTTAACCCTCGTAGAGGAGCACAGTCCACCCACCACCATTCATCCCTTTCATGTCTGCCTCCGATTCCCAACGTAATGTGTTCTTCGACCTTCCTCTTTTCTGTTCCCCTTCACTATTCAAAGTAAGGGCTTTCCTCGTGATGCAGTTGGTGATTGCCGTGATGCATGTTCTATCTACTTCAAAAGTCTTGTTCTAATTTCCTCTTCAAATGAAAGCTAGTTTGTTCTCTTCCACAGCAGGCTGTTGCTGATGATTTCCAAACAGCGGACACTGTGTATCTTGCATAGACAATTGTTTGTAAATACGTACGTTTTATATCATGTTATTATTGAATCATTACTATTTGTCAAATTGAATATTAATTAGTCTACTCTGATAATATATAATTTTCAGGAGTGTTCATGATAAACGACACTCACAAAGTCAAAATGATTTGGATCGTAAATATGTGGATAGTAATGAAAATCTTCAAGATAGTTCACGGATGAATCGATTAATCAAAGGTTTAGATCATCACAGAAGTTCATGTAAGTTCATGAAAAAAAAGATTTATGTAAAAAAATTGGTATTATTTAAGAAACCTGACTAATGATTTTAACACAACCCATAAGTACTAGAACTAATGAAAAGTTGAGTAGATGCGCTACAGAAACATATGGCTATATACCGTCGGGGAAAGAAACACAGTGAATATATTTCTTTAGGTGTAATGAGCCATGTGTATGACTTTTATAAGAAATTGATTAATGAGTTGTGTTACACGGGGAGACTATAAATTATGGACGAACCAATCATATTTAAGGTAGCAGGTCTTGAATTTTGAGGCGAAGATCATTCATTCATTTGGTTAAATATCATTTTGACATTATGCCCGATGCCAGTTCGTGATGAAAACACCAAATGTAATTCCTAAAACTAACATGCAACTGTAAATGATAATCCTGATCCCTCACACTTATCTATAACCTGCATTTAACCCTAGAAAGTAAGTGTACATTCCAAGGATATTGTAGCGTTGCTCAAAGGTTGTCCATAAATTATACTCACACTGAAATTTTAAGGTGATAGGAGCCTAGCAAGAGGACATGCCTATGATGATCATCACGAAATTTTCAATCAGATTTTAGCCAATAAATGATTCTTTGTAAAAAATAATTAATAATTAATTCGTTCCAACGTTGGACCCAATTAGATCACATCGCTATCAGCCACCGATGGAGGGGCTCGATAGATGGGCAGAACACTTTAGGGATCAGTTCAACTGGCCTTCAGCCACACTTCAGTTACCCACGATCCCCAGTCGTCCTGAATGGCGAATGGAGGTGAGTCCTCCAACTCTCTACGAGGTTGAAAAAGCTATAGGAAATCGTGAAGAGCAGACTAGAGAAAACCAGTCTGGTTTTCGACCTGGACGTGGTTGCGTAGACCAGATATTCACTCTACGTCAGGTCCTAGAACATAGACATACATTCAGACGTCCCACAATGGTAGTATTTCTTGACCTTAAGGCGGCATTTGACTCCGTTGATCGTGAGGTTCTATGGCAGTGTTTGTCAGTGAAAGGAGTACCAAAGAAGTACATTAACCTCATAAAGGCTCTCTACTCGAGCACAACTGGTCGAGTTAGAGCCTATGGCGAACTGTCATAAGAACTGATTACCACAAGTGGCGTTCGTCAGGGCTGTCCACTCTCCCCATTCTTGTTTAACTTTGTCATTGACATACTTTTATAGATAGCACTTTCATCAGCTAAACCTCCAGGAGTTGAACTTTTACCAGGAGGCTCACTTGTTGACTTAGAATACGCCGACGACATAGTTTTACTCGGTGAAGACGCTGACAACATGCAGAGTCTTCTGACCACTATAAGCAACTATGCAGGCATGTTAGGAATGCGATTCTCTCCCTCGAAGTGCAAAATGTTACTTCAGGATTGGGTTGCAGCGACACCTGAACTAATGATAGGGAGTGAAGTAGTTGAGCGTGTAGACCACTTCACTGATCTTGGGAGTCTCATCAGCCCTTGTGGTCTGGTATGTGACGAAATCTCAGCACGGATACAGAAGGCTCGTCTAGCTTTCGCCAACTTGCGCCGTTTATGGCGTAGGCGAGATATCCGTCTAGCAACCAAAGGACGTGTTTACTGTGCAGCAGTTCGCTCCGTCCTACTTTATGGCAGTGAAACATGGCCAATAAGAGTAGAGGATATTCGTAAGCTACTAGTGTTTGATCATAGGTGTCTTCGAAGCATTGCTCGTATATCCTGGGACCACCGGGTAAGTAATGCAGTTGTTAGGAAATGAGTACTAGGTAAGGATGGCAAATCGATTGATGAAGTAGTGAAACTTCATCAGTTGAGATGGCTGGGACATGTGTTACGTATGCCCGACCACCGACTGCCCCGACGTGCAATGTTTCATGGTGTAGGAGTAGGTTGGAAGAAAGCTAGGGGTGGCCAGACCAAAACGTGGCACAAATCAATGAAGCCACTGACAAGTGAACTGAGCTATGTTATTAAGTGTAGACTACCTGGTTGGGATCCGCGGGATGATAACAATCGATGGTTAGAGACCTTGAGTGATATGGCTGAAAATCGTTTGCCATGGCGAAGGTTCATCCACTCTTTGTGTTCTCCCAAATTCTAATCTTCTGAATTCCTCATGTCTTTACATTTTTCTCTTTCCAAATTTATTTCACTGGATTATACTCCTTCAATAACATCTTCAAACCCTTATCTTTCACATAATACTTATACTCTTACTACTTCTACCAATATGGGATTTGAATCGACAACTGCATCTGTGTGCTAATGTGGTATGGCAACTCGAACTGATGTACGTACAAAGTTCTACGTTGTGACTGACTGACTGATAAGTATATCAGTTACCCGTTAAATGAACGGAAAAGCGTCATAGAATGATGCATAGCAGATACATATTGAAGAATGAAGGTAGGATGGATAATTGTGATTGTTATCAGAAAGGATTTTGTGGAGATTTTGGTAATTTTATAGTCAAATTTATGAGTCAATTGAAGTTAGACCACAATGGAAAACCTGGAAGCAGTGGACGACTGTTTCGTCCAAGTATGGGAATCCCCAGGAGTGCACATCCATGACTCCGCCTCGCGAGATTCAAACGCAGGACTTATCAGTCTCGCGCACGAACGCTTAATGTCTAGACCACTGAGTCTTCATCCAACGGCCCTGGGTTCGAGCCAGAGTTTATTTCTTACATTTAAAAAGACAAAACTCCATTTGAAATTAGTTCTCTTTTCTAGTCACTGGTTATGTTACTTTAATAAATCATCTTCATTCGTTAAACTAATGTCATTTGTGTCATTAATTAATCTTTTGTTTTTGTTTGTAGTAGAAACACGTAGAAACAATAATGAATTAGATGATATAGATGATAATCTTTTTATGAATAAACGATTAACTGATCAATTAAATGGAGAAATAAGACAACAATTACAATCACAAACATTAAAAGATCAACAATTCTCTCAGCAACAACATCAACATAAAAGTAGTTTATCTACACCAAATTTAATCAATATTCCTGGGATTCATCAAAATGATATGGAAACTAATGATGATCATATCGCCGAAAAAAAATCATCTACTATTCAAGGGGATCTATTAACAGACAAAAAGAAACTCATAAATGTGACAATCGAAGAGAAGAACGAACCAAAGAAATCTGATATCATGAATGGTGAAAAACAACGAACTAGTACAAAAACGGATCAAATGAATATAACAAATATTATGAATTTAATACAATCCAATACAGATCATGATAATGAGGTAAACGATTCATTAAGTTCCGGTGTTGAAGCAAATGCTGAAGCAGCAGAACAACCATTACAAGTTGATATCAATTTAAATAATATTGATGGAGGTGGTGTAAATGGTTTTTGTACTGGTTCAGTGAATACATTATCTTCATCACCATTAAAATCAGCTGATGAAGATGATGATGATGATGTTGATGTTGAGAATAATGAATTTGTCAATGGTGCATTAAAACAAACCAATAATTCAGATATGTATCAAAAAATTAAAGTTGGCAATTGGCTTGGAGCAAATGGAATAAAATCTATTAGGAATACTGAAAATGAACCTCCTCCAATCACCTCAATCAATCAAAAAACAGATAACTATGATAATAATAATAATAATAATAATAGTGAAACATTGAATAATGTATCCAATGATCGTTTGAATACAAAACAATTTATAAGTATAGATTCTGAAAATATGGTTAAAGATGATTCTTATAGTCCAATATCTACTATCTCTCCAATGAATCCTTATTCAAATGATCATGAAGAAACAGAAACTAAATTCATTCATACTATAAAGCCATCCATTAGTTATTCTACTTCACAAAAAATTGAAATGAATCCAATAAAATCTCAACGTAAACAATTGAATTCAATGAAAGGAACTACAATGAATCCTATTAATAATAATTCTTCTACAGTAGATCTATTCGATGAAAATGCGAAACAATCATCAATGCACCTATCAACAATTAATCGATCGAAATCACTTTATTTTAATCAAAATAAATCAATAACAACGATGACAACAACCATGACGACAGCAACATCAACAACAACAAGAACAACAGTAGGCTTAAATTCATTACCAAAATCTCAAAGTTCATCTTATAATAATATAGATAGTATAAATACATCGAAATCAATTATTTATTATCCATATGCTTGTAATATAACTACAATACATAATACAACAACAACTATTACTACTACTAATAATAATAGTAATACATTTTCTCCATCATTATATTCTTCAACAAATTATCATCAATTACCATTACATAATATTAAATCTATGAAACAATATACTGAATTACCATGTAAACCTACTCATATTTATCCGAAATTATCTCATATAGACTATACATTAACCAATCAAAATGATCTATTGTTATCATCTTCTAGAAATGATTTATATAATGTACAATATCAATCAAGACGACAATTATCATTAGGTAGAACAAAATCAATAAAAGATTTATCACCTCAACCAAGAGATTGGCATGAAATCAATTCAAATATAATAAATAATAATAATAATAATAATACTAATAATATTAATCCAGATATAAATAATATAATATTAGATCCCATAGAAACAACTTTATCAAAAAATAAAAAAATCAATTATATTGATTATATAGATACAAAATATAATATAATCAATAATAATAATAATAATAATAATAATAATAATAATGAACCTAAATCGATTTCTAATGATTTATTATATAATAATGGTTATTATTCATATAATAATATAAAACAATTGCCTAGTAACAAAAAATTTAATCAATCAAATGTTACTACTCTTATTCATACTAATAGTAATTATTATAATATTTCAAATAGTATGATGGCACAAACCTTGTCTTGTACTACTACTTCTGCTTCTTCTCCTTCATCATATCAGAATGTATCATCTTTAGCTGAAGCTACAAAATCATTAAACCTTAATAAAAATTTATTTTCATCGAATAGTTCAAGTGAAGTAATTCTAAGAACACAACCATCTACTATACAAAATCAAAGTTCATCTAATTCATTAGCTTATTTAACACAATCATCTAATGTCAATTCCAAACCAACATCTAATTGTCTTATAGATTCATCTACTTATTTTAATCATCAGAATAATAGAAAATCAACGATATCAACATTGGATTATAATAATAATAATAATAATAATAATAATAATAATAATAGAACAGCTGGTAGTACTGCTGCATATCTTGCAGCTACCGGTGTTGGTGCTTATAAATTAAATGATTCATTAGCTTTATTAACAACTAGAACTGATTATTTAATTGAATCAAATATCAATAATGATACTGCTAACAATACTACTACTAAAAATGATAATGTAATATATAAAGAAAATCCTAAATCTGTTACATTTAATCAAAATAATTTAATAACCATTGAGAATAATGAAAATAATAAAAAACTAGTGAGTTATTCAAAAAAAAAATTATTTCTATGTTGTTAATATATAAATCCGATGGAAAGTAAAGTTCTATAAGGACTTTTGTCTTAATTGGAATGAATGAGTTTCACAGCATTGAAGCTCCAAGTTGATGTAACACATTGTTAAATTAAAATAATTGAAATCATTAGTCAATTAAAGCTAGACCATTATGGAAAACCTGCAAACACTAGACAACCATTTCATCCTATTGTCGGATTCCTCAGCAGTGTGCATCCACGATCCAACCTAGCGAGATTAAAAACCAGAATCTATCAGTCTCGCGCGCAAGCCCTGAATGTGTAGACCACTGAACCGCCATCCAACGGTGATAATGTTTAACTTCAATCAATCCACGAAATTGAGCAACTGTCCATCATTGTCTTGAACTTTAAAATTACTAAAATGTTCATAAAACTACCTTCTGATAAATTAAGATACTTGATTGTTTGCTTAGTGTCTAGTGAAAATTCGAAATAAATCAATGAACTAAATAAACTGATGAAGAAGATATGTAAATTAGGGGTGCACTTTTAGTGTTTCGATAAACGAGAACACAAATGAAGACAATCGAATGTATTTGAACATAAAATTACAGAGTACTTTAGTAAAATCTGAGGATCATACATTAAATACTTCATTTGCAAAATGCCAACCAATCGTTTCAGACTTCATTGTTCTTTCGTTTCCAAATAAATCATTCTCTGTCCTCGTTCTCTTTTATTTGGTATTCCTAACCTTCTGCCTCTAGGCATTTCACTTTCAATTGACGATGCATACTACTTATATCTGTCGTCATCCGTAGCACACAGCATGGTGTGATTACGTTCTTTCACCTTATTAATTTAATGAAGTACCTTTAATTATTCTTCCGTATAATATCACCAGATCATACTTCATGTAGAAACAAAGTTTTTAGTTATTCAGCAAGCGTTAAATTAGTTTGCGCTGGCGAATTTGTTTGTTTGATTGTCTTCTTCATTTCGTGCATTCAAGTTCATTATATTGTTTCATTGACCCGTGATAATGAATTTTCATTTGAAACAACTGATTACAAACAAAGTCATCAGAATAAACCGATTTCAAGCTAATAGAATAAGTAACTTACTTCTAAATCACTTAAGCATTGATGATGTTATCCACAATCACAATGATAACTCTTTAAATAATCTATCCGGTTAAAAGTAATTAACAACACTGTTAAAAGTATTGTAGGTAACAAGAAGTTAGCTAGTTTTTGATAGTGCGTTATCTTAGTTTCGTACTTTTTATTTGAGATCAAATGAATTTTATTGAATCTAGCTAAATACACTCATATTACAAGCCACCTATTTATTGTAGTTGTTTTCTAGAGTTTATATCCTACTACCCAGAAACTTATTTATGCAAGTTTTTATGATCCACGATCAATGGTTCGGAATCAGGTACAAAAGATATATTATGAGTTATCTAACGTTTAAAAATTATTGATCACAAGTTAGTGGTCAGTGTCGGTTATGCCTATTACTGATCGAATTTTATTGATCAAGTTACAATGTGACCACCAGTCTGCGTGAGCCAACATTTATACACTCTGTTGAGATATTACGTGTTTCGAGGTAGTCAACAAGAAGCACTGTTCAATATAAATTTCGTGTCATTCTGTTCTCGTCGGTAAGGCACAGCTTACACTTTCAAGGAACTAATGTTTCCTAATGAATTTGAGACAGCATTATCCAGTTTCACAGCTTAAACCCCTCAGGTAGTTTTCTCTCTAAATTACAAGTAAGCCTTGCTAATAGGTACTAACTAGCGTGAAATATATATAAATATTATTGAGAAGTGCATAACTCTTACATTGAAATCAGAAATTGGTTGAAGTAGGCGTGACGATTAACACACTGTAAAACTGCGAATTACTGCCAAATCGATAAGCTTTAAAGTAAAAACACTTAGATCTTCCTACAGAAATTCGAAAAAACTGGTGGTATTATTCGCTGAATTAATTCTCTCTAAGAACATATATACACAAAGTACACAAGACTATTAGGAATTTAATAGTTGGTTATATATATATATATATATATATATATATATATATATATATATATATATATATATATATATATATATAATCATTATTTAATAGTTAAGTTCATGAGTCGACTAAAGCTAGACCACGAAGGAGAACCTGGAAGCAGTGGACGGCCGTTTCATCCTAGTATGTGACTCCCCAGAAGTGCATAGCAACGGTCTCGCTCGCTCGCTCACATGAACCGAACCCACCACCTCCAGTCTCGCGCGCTGACGCCTAACCTCTAGAACTATGAGCCAACATCTAACAGTGTTAATGTCGGATTTGAAATAATCTACGAAATCGGGCCACCGTTCACCATTATTAGGAATCACAGGAAATCATTGATTGTTCGATCACTATTACCACGTACATTGAGTATTTCATTATAAATCAAGAGCTATGCTCTTTTTTAATTACTACTCCACTGATATACTACACCAATACTCAAGTTTTATAATTAAGTATAATATTAACACCATGGTTGAATAATTTGACAATGTATCTCAATATTTCCTGCAAAACGTTTATTCCTTGGCTATTCAATCTATGAAAAACTAAATCTATAGACAAGACAATATTATCGATTTGTTACAATAACGTTTTGTATTTTGATTATTAATTTTATTTATTTATTTGAACACATAAATATTGGTACAAGAGGGCACCGGATATATATGCGCCACACAGAAAATTGTTATTTCATTTCCATTGTGTGTGAAAGCTATGATACTGCACGGGTGCCCAGACCGAAGCAGGTGATTTTTTAGGAGGCTTTAGCCCCGAGCTTTTGACTTAAAGGTCTAATCCACTAGGCAGTGGAGCATTGTGAGGTGATGCCGTCCCATTGGTAGCCGGTGACCATTTGTTTCATCAGGATACTGGAGCCAATGCGCACCACCGATTTGAAAATCAGGGTTTTCCAACTCCCCTAGGTAAATTTACTGTGTCCACCAACCTGGTTAAAGCGCCAGAAATTCGCTTTTCGTCCTATCAGTTTCATAAGCAACACTCATGCAGCGAGAATGCAGTGAGTCGAACTTCCCTGGCAGAGGCTTGATACGCGTGGCCATGTTAATTAAAAATCGGAAAATTTGAATAACATCAAATTAACCACATGGAACGCCATATTACATCATCAAGAAGTTGTACAAACACTTTTTATGTGACAAAAATTCGATTTTTTTTAGTTTCTAGTTGATATCTGGTTTATAATGACATCTAATTTTTTTTCACAAATAATCTACTTTAGTAAACAATCTTTTCCTTTCTTACATTGATTGTTGTAGGAATCTCAAACAAAGACACCCAGTTATTATTCCATAAAACAAACTTCTTCCTACTCACCATCAATACCACCAAAGCCAAGTTATCTACAATCAAACAATAATCAATCAAGAATAATTTATCAATCTAGAGAAAATAACAATACTACTACTATTACTACTAATACAACTAATACGACGACTGCTAATAATGATGATGAGGAAATAATTCCAAGTAGAACATTTTCACGAAGGTTAGCACCTTTGTATAGATCATATTTTAAAATTTCATTAGTTCCATCACATGTGAAAACTTCTTAGGAGTTTTTTTTAAAATAAGTCAATCTCTTGTTTCTCCATTTTGTAGTCCATCATATTTTATTTTTGTCCTAAATCTAATTGTTGGTATAAATGACTGGTAATCCAATGTGTTACGTAATAACTATTGAAAGATACTGTTGTTCAATGTAAATGGTGGTGGTTTAATTTACATTTAAGTTAATGAATATTTGAATATATATTTAACAATAAATTCAACATTTTAGTCATCTTTATCATAGATTTTAACTATATAATTATCATTTTAACTGTTTCATTATTAGCAAAGATGGATAGTAGCTAGTAGTGGTGGAATCCATTTTGACGCGTGTTTCATCCTATTTCGGACTGGTCAGCTGAATGTACCTGCATCTCAGAGCTGATGTTCATTCTGGAACTCGAACCTAGTACTTTTTGCTTCAAACGCTATCGCGTTATCCACTCTGCCACTGAGTCCTGATAGCCACTTGCTTGTGCAATGGGGTGAAGTTTAAATTCACTTAGTATTGTTTCATTAATATTTTAGTGGATATGAACTAAGATATGTTTGAAGATATTTGATAAATGTGTAGTGCCATGTTTCGTTAATCGTTTGCCTCGATAACCGCTATAATACCAATCTTAACGGTGCATAATATCAGAAGACAAAGATAAGCGGCAATTACAGTTTTATTGTCAAATAACGTAGGCCAGAAAACTATCAGCAGATAAGGAAATATCAGCGAGCGAAGCAAAAAATAACACCCATTGGAGATGGCGGATAAGCCGGCTCATTTTTATCAAGCGTTAATCAATATTTATAGTCCGATAAAAATAAATTCCAGAATGTGATGAATAAGATAAAAAGTGTACACACATATATGCTCATATAAAAATAGTCAGGGTTAATAAGTGAATAATTAACAAGGTGAAAACATAACTCTAGAGGGATGGGTAAATTGGCTTATCCATAAGCTAGAATAAAGTATTTGGGCTTAACATAACAACCGACACTACAAATTTCATCATTTAGTTATCATAAACTTAGTGATTAGGATGAATATGTGATAGCTCAAATTACCGTATTATAACAGTGGAATTAGGTGAAAAAACATCAGAAATCAAAATAATGTAGAAAAATGATAATAAGTAAGATTGAACTTTGAGACTTACTTACTTAGTTGCTCCTGTTACTCCCAATGGAGCATAGGCCGCCGACCACCATTCTCCAACCCACTCTGTCCTGAACCTTCCTTTCTAATTCTATCCAACTTTTGTTCATTCTTCTCATCTCTGTTTCCATTTCTCGGCGTAATATGTTCTTTGGTTTTCCTCTTCTCCTTTGATCTTCAGGATTGCATGTGTGGGCTTGCCTTGTGATGCAGTTGAATGCTTTCCTCAATGCGTATCCAACCCACTTCTAGCGTTTCCTCCTGATTTCTTCCTCCACTGGAATCTGGTTTGTCCTCTCTCACAGTAGCTTGTTGCCGATAGTGTCTGGCCAACGGATCCGAAGTATTTTGCGTAGACAACTGTTAATAAACACCTGTCTTCTGGATGATGGCCTTCGTAGTTCTCCAGGTTTCCGCTCCATGCAGTAGAACTGTCTTGACATTTGTATTGAAAATTCTAACCTTGGTGTTGGTTGAAAATTGTTTTGAGTTCCAGATGTTTTCCAGTTGTAAGTATGCTGCTCTTGCATTTGCCGATCCGCGCTCTCACATCTGCATCTGATCCACCGTGTTAATCAATGATGCTGCCCAGATATGTAAAGGTTTCCACATCCTCCAAAGCTTCTCCGTCAAGTGTAATTTGATTGGTGCATATTGTATTGTATCGGAGAGTCTTGCTTTTCCCTTTGTTTATATTGAGACCTACTACTGCTGAGGCTGCATTTGTTGTTGCGTTTGTGACAGAAGAGCCAGATCATCTGCGAGGTCTAAATCGTCAAGCTGCATCCTGCCTATCCACTGTATCCCGTGCATTCCTCCAGGTGTTGACGTCTTCATAATCCAGTCGATCACCAGGAGAAAGAGAAAGGGTGAGATTAAGCAACCTTGCCTAACACCGGTCTTTACTTGAAACGAGTCGGTGAGTTGTCCTCCGTGGACGATTTGGCAGTTTAGTCCATCATAGGAGTTCCGTATGATATTTACTATCTTCTCAGGCACGCCGTAGTGTCGAAGAAGGCTCCATAGTGTTGTCCTGTCTACGCTATCAAATACCTTCTCGTAGTCAATGAAGTTGATGTAGAGTGATGAATTCCATTCCATTAATTGTTCCGCAATGATCCGTAGAGTTGCGATTTGGTCTGTGCACGATCGATCCTTACGAAATCCAGCTTGTTGATCTCGAAGTTGAGAGTCTACGGAATACTTCATCCTGTTTAACAGTACTCTGTTGAAGACTTTTCCTGGTATTGAGAAAAGAGTAATACCCATGTAGTTATCGCACTTGCTGAGATCGCCTTTCTTTGGTATCTTGATCAGAAGTCCTTTTTTCCAGTCTCTTGGTACGTGTTCTTCGTCCCAAATCTTACTGAAGAGGATGTGGAGTATCTTGGCAGTTGCTGCTACATTCGCTTTCAGTGCCTCTGCCGGGATGTTGTCTGATCCCGCTGCTTTGCCGCTCTTGATTTGTCTAATGGCCATGCTGATCTCTTCAATTGTTGGTGGGCCAACATCGATTGGGAGGTCTGTGGGTGCTGCTTAGATGTTGGGTGGGTTCAGTGGAGCTGGTCGATTCAAGAGTTCTTTGAAGTGTTCTACCCACCTGTTTCATTGTTCTTCAGTGTCGTTGATTACTTTGCCTTCCTTGCCTTTCACTGGTCTTTCTGGCTTTGTTGTATCATACAGTTGTCTCATGTTTCCCTCTCTTGCAGCCTTTTCCGCTGTCGTTGCTAAATCTTCAACATATTTGCGATTGCCGGTTCTGATGCTCCTCTTCACTTGCTTGTTTGCCTCTGTGTATTCGGCTTGTGCCTTTGTCTTTCTGCTCTTGTCCGGCTGATATTGATTGCTGCATTCTTGTTCCTCCTTTCTTCAATTTTATCCAGTGTGCGAACAGTGATCCATTCCTTGTGATGGTGCTTCTTTTGGCTCAGAACCTCCTGACATGTTGAAATGACTGCCTCTTTTATCCCTTTTCAGTTGCTCTCCATGGTAATTCCCTCTCCATTGAGTAGATCATGAAAGACCAGGAACCTGTTGCTGAGGGCTATGTTGAATTTGTTGAGTTTGTCAGTATCCTGAAGAAAAGTCGTAATAAACTTTTGTGATGTTATCCGCGCCATTGTCCAGTGCTTCTTGAGTTTTAGTTTCATCTTGGCGACCAGCAAATTGTGGTCGGATGCTACATCAGCTCCTCTTCTGGTTCTCACATCCTCCATCGTCCTCCTGAACTTTTTGTTGATGCAGATATGGTCTATTTGATTCTGTGTAGTGTGATCCGGTGAAATCCAAGTGGCTTTGTGTATGTTTTTGTGTGGGAATATGGTGCCACCTATGACCAGTTTATTGAAGGCATATAGGTTTGCAAATCTCTCACCATTGAACTTTGAGAGTATGGTTCAAAATGAATATATAGCGGAGAGAATACTAGAACTCAAGATTTATGGAAATATAAAGAGAGAGTACATCTGTGCTACTGTGAACGATTTCAAGTTATGTCATGCAACGTCTAGAGTCACTGATTGTGGTTATTACTGATATCTCAATCAAGTAGTCTACACCTACGTATATGACCCATCCCAACAATGAATAACTTTAATTAATTTCTGAAAATTTCTAGTTTAACTTCCTTTGTCTTTTTGACAACCTACTTGTACACCAGCGAATGTATATGAGCAAATATGTAGAAATTGATGATACATGCGTGACGAATAAATTAACCACATCGGTCGATGAAGACTTGCTAATTTATCAACTGATTTGCCAGCTTAACCTAATACACTACACTTAATTATAACATCAATCACTCTGTTGATACACAAAATAGTCAGTAGTTAGTAGTCTTAGAAGCAAGTAGCAGTAGTAAAGTGAAATGTTTTATTGTTCGTATTGGAAAAGAATAAACAAACGGAAACTGAACTATGAATAATAAACCAGACTATGGATTGAGACAGCAGAAATTCCTCTTTTCACTTTTCTTCCGTGAATTGAGTTTTTATGTATTATACATTTAACCCAGTAAGGAAACTGAATTTTTCGTTCACTGAATCAGAATCAAACATTTACAATGTTATGATCCTACTAGGTTGTTGATAGTATCAGCCAACTGAGTTATTGCTTGACTTTTGCACGTTTTCACTATAAAATCATAATAAACTGTAAAACCTAGTAAGTTTTAGCATCGGACTATAAATTTGCTGTTATTAGTTATACTAACCTACTTATTCCTGTTACCTCTCGTGGAGGAGCATCGGTGACCCACTAGCATTATGTATACAATTCTGTCCTGAGCAATCATTTCCGCTTGTTTCCAATAGTTATTCACCCCTTTCATGTCTACTTCCGGTTTTCGTTGGAGTGTGTTCTTTGTCTTTCCTCTTCTCCTTTTCCCTCCAGGATTCCAAGTTAGGGCTTTCCTCTTGATGCAGTTTGGTGATTTCCTCAATATATGTCCTGCGCACTTCTACAATCTCTTACTGAATTCCTCTTCAAATCGGACCTGGTTTATTCTTTCTCACAGTAGGTTGTAGCTGATGATATCCGACCATTGGACATTGAGTATCTTGCGTAGACAATTGTTTGTAAGTACTTGTACATTTTTGATGATGGTTGTTGTAGTTTTCTAAGTCTCAGTTCCGTACAGTAGAACAGTCTTGACGTTCGTATTGAAGATTGTGACCTTGATGTTGGTTGACAGTTGTTTCAAGTTCCATATATGCTTCAATTGTATGAATGCTACTCTTGCATTGCTAAACCTCACCTTCACGCCTGCATCAGATCCTCCTAGT